CCATTTTCGCTTGGATTATAGAACATAAGAACATAAGAAATTTACAAACGAGAGGGGGCCATTCGGCCCATCAAGCTCGTTTGGGGAGAACTTAACTGATAGCTCAGAGTTGTTAAAATCTTATTTTAACAACTGATTTAAAGGAACCCAGGGTTTTAGCTTCCGCTACTGTATTAGGATGAATTCGCGGACGATTACGTCACCCACGTGATATGGAATTAATCCTTTACTATAATATTCTGGGAAGTTGTAATTGTGGATTAATTCCGATCGCGTGTGGACTGATCGTCCTGAAATTCAGATCAATCGTCCATAATTCACCCCGAATGTTACTAGACTGCACGAACATGTTATTTAACGATCCCCTGTAAAACCTAATTTTGCCATAAATAACTTGGGCTCATAAAAAGAAGCCAGGATGCTAATCTGGGCCATTAGATCGGCATGCAGGATGCGAATCTGGGCCATTAGATCGGTATGCAGGATGCTAATCTGGGCCATTAGATCGGCAGGCAGGATGCTAATCTGGGCCATTGGATCGGCATGCAGGATGCTAATCTCTGCCATTATCTCGGCATGCAGGATGCTCATCTGGGCCATTAGATCGGCATGCAGGATGCTCATCTTGGTTTCGGGAGACGGGGGGGGGGGGTCGGTATACAGCGCCCTATATTGCCTGTAGGGGGGAACAAGGAGGCATTGCGCAAATACACCTGGTGCAAGGACGCCTATTGTAGTATGTTATCGCAAGCAGCAGCACTCGGACAAAAGGGGGAATTGAAGTACATATTGCCTGGGGGGAAGGGGTGAGCCTGGCCAGCTTACCCCCTGCCCACACGCAACGCTAAATTTACTATAAAGGAAGGGGGAGATCCCAGTACTGACCGGAGCTCAGCCGTGGGATAGAGCGCGCATCGCCCGGCACTTTCTCGGGATTAATAGTGGTCCTAAAATTGAACCCTGCGGTACCCCACTATGAACGCAGACCCACTGTGACTTTGTGCCTCTAATAACTACTAATAGCTTCCATTACTTTTCCAGTTATGCGAGTTACATTAATAATTATTTGCTGGATTACTTCTATTCCCTTTTCTCAATATGGGCATTATATTAGCATACTTCCAATCAGAAGGTATCACACCAGCAGATAAGGATTTCTGCAATAGTAAAGTTAAAGGTTGGATAATAATATCCCTCATCTCTTTTAAAAGTATAGGCAAGATGCCATCAGGACCCTGTGATTTATTTATTTTGAGCTTAGCTAGGCTTTGTACCACATCAGCCTCAGTTATACATACAGTGCAATCTGCAATTATTGGCACCCCTTTGTACAAGGGTAAGAAAAAATCCACCTTCTGGTGAAGTTGCTACATCTCACACTGAAAAAATGAGAAATCCAACCTTTTACTGAAATTAATTTATTAAAAAAAAAAACAAAACCTTCAAGAAATATTATTTTTAAAGAAAACACATGTGGCATCATTATTGGCACCCCTTTGTACAAGGGTAAGAAAAAATCCACCTTCTGCTGAAGTTGCTACATCTCACACTGAAAAAATGAGAAATCCAACCTTTTACTGAAATTAATTTATAAAAAAAAAAAAAAAACCTTCAAGAAATATTATTTTTAACGAAAACACATGTGGCATGATTATTGGCACCACTGCAAATTATAGTGAACACAATGTAACTGAAGCATGTTTCCCTTGTAAATTGTACATCTTTGAGTTGATTGGAGTGAATAGGAACCTTCAAGCTGTAATCCATGACTTCCTGATTATCTGGGGCACAAACATGAGGAGACACAGAGGCCAAATTCCCTTAGTCATCCATCAACATGGGAAAGATAAGAGATCACACAGACCAAATGAGGGAGAAGTATGCTGACCTTCATAAGTCAGGGAATGGGTATGAAAAATAGCTACTCGCCTTAAAATGCCCTTTTCTACTGTTAGGGCAATAATTAAAAAGTGGACATCAACTGGAACTGTTAGAAACCTGCCTGGAAGACGACCCAAGTTTATTTAGCCCCCACATACAGTGAGGAGGATCATAAGAGAGACAAAAAATCCCCAAAGATGACTGTTGGTGAATTACAAGACCAAGTAAAATCTTGGGGTTACCACATCTCTGAAAAAACCATCAGACGCCCCCTTCATGCTAACAGATTATTTGAAAGGTATGACAGACAGAAGTGTAGGAACCCCAAAAGTAAATTTTTGTTTGTTTTAAATATTCAGTATAGGTGTACTAATGCCAGCCAATCAATGTTGAGCTTGAGGTTGCGCCATGACGTAGTCACGTGATGAGGAAGGGGTGGAGCGTGGTAAGCGTGTGTGCTGCCAGAGATATCGGCCGGTTTTTTTTACCGGGAAAAAAAGAGTGCGTCATCTGTTTGGAGACTAGTATATTTAATGTAATATAAGGCCCAAGTGTAGAGTGACGACACTTGTTTTGTGTTTTCTTTCCCGGGGTTTATTTTAAGCAGGGCTTAAAAACGAAAAAAAAAATCCATTCGGTTCACTCCGAGCAGAATCGATATTATAACGTTTCTGTTCTTGCGTTCCTCATTAAACAATACATTCCGAAAAGGTTTTCTAGAAAAACTACCGGTTAATAAACGTTATTTTATTACACGGTGCGATAGATAGATAGTGTGTGCCTTTTAATAACATGCTTGGCATTATGTTTACAAATGATTAAACCAAATTCCGTGTTCGTGTCATTTGAACTTCTTGTCTTTAAAACCGAAAGTAAACGAGTTCACCTGGAAACTCGTTACAAATGCGCTAATAATTTTTAAAAAACAATTTTCTTGTTTGATAATACTATAGCGAAATAAGCCCCTTCAAGACCATCCGCTTAACATCCTGACCACACGGCTTAATCTGCGATAAAAACCTGTTGACTTATTCCTTACCTAATATGCATAATAGCCTATTGTAGGCTATTTTCTCTCAAACAAAACAGAACTCCAGATAGTTATGATTTTACATTTAATGCATAAAAGTAAAAGAAAACGTAATGCATTGTAACATTATAAAACAACAACAGATTTTTTTTTAACATTTAACACAACAGATCAACAACTTAAATTATAATATACCAAATAGTCTACTGGAAAAACTGGATGGGCTTCAGCAAAATATTTTATATAAAAAAAAGTCAATCTATAGCCTACTTAAAGTCCATATACTTTGGGTTTAAATGTACAAAGAGAATGTCCTCTAGGACTGGAAAGGCTTCAGCAAAATTAATATTTTATAAAAAAAAAAAAAAAATGCAGTCATTCTATGGCCTACTTAAAGTCCATACTTTTAGTTTAATCGTACAAAGAGAATGTCCTCTAGGACCTGTGCATTCATTGATGAAAAAAGAAAAAGAGGGAAAAGAATGTACTTGAGGCATGAAAATGCACGCTCAACACTTACTTGCGTTACAGGTAGCGCAATTACATTCATAGCAAGTTTGTGCAAATCTGGCTTAGTGGTAGCAACGCTTGCCCAGTACTTAAAAAGACACTCACTTCTCTTAAGATGGGGTTCTCTCGAATACATATCCAAAGCAAATGAGATTGACACTCGAGTATGTTTTACAGTTGTGATTTCTTTTTCTTTTGCAATCAGCAGCTGTTCGATCTCGTCATCATCGTTGGATGCCTGCGATGGACTACATTGTACAGTGTTGTTGTTTGCCGACAAATTTTGAATGGCATCCCAGGCACGACTTAAGTGAATTTTTGCCCTTTCGGATTGAAGATCGCTGAGGAAAAACCTGTATCTCGGATCGAGAAATAAAGCAGCCACAAAGGCATCATTGTCAAAAAGCGCTGTTTGTCGTGACTTAAGACATTGAACCAGTCGTTTTGCAAAAAGATTGTCAATTCTGTCGGTGCACAAGACGCAATGAAGCCAAACACCGTAGAAGTCGCCGGCGGTGAGCTGTTCCGACTGAAGGCTTTTCGTAGCAACTTTCGCTGGTTTTAAAGCGCTTACCAAGTTGGCTATTGCTTCCCATTCGTTTCCACTTAAATTTATTTCTTTAATATTTGGTGACATGTCCTGGCAAAAATTCTTGAGCTCCAAAAGCCGCTCTAGCATATCGTGTGTTGAATGCCAGTGCGTTGGGCAGTCCACAATGGTTCTCTTTAGCCCCATCCTTTTTAGAAGAACAACTACGTTCTGTGTGCGTAACTTTTTCGCAACACGTCTTGCTTTAGAAAGCAAATTTGTTGACGGTTGCTCTTTTAATGCATCATCAACTGCCAACTGCAAAGTATGAGCTGAACACCGCACACTGCGCAACACATGTTCTTGCATCACAGAATCAAGTTCGATGGCCAAATCCGGTTCCAATTCCTGACTTTCGTCTTGGATATCATTCTCATCCCCATCCTCTTCTTTATCCATGGTATCAGCCTCATTTACCTCATTACACATGGTGTCCTCTTGTATGTCAGATAGTAAAGACACTGCCTTTATCATATTAGCGCCATTATCCGAAGTTATTGAATAAACTTGCCGTAATTCAACATCATATTCGTGTAAGACATCTTGCACGACGGATGAAATGTATTCGGCCGTGTGTCTGTCATTGAGCTCTCTTACGGCCAAAGTGCGCAGAACAATTTTTTCTCCGTCAGTGTATTGTACATTTACGCCCAGAACTGATCGGTCTCTGCATGTGGCAGAATCAATTTTAAGCATTAGTAGCCTGCCTTTTAAGTCGTTTTTCAGTTCTTCTCTGCCCTCCTGAGCAACACTTGACACCATGTCACGGATATTTGAGGAGTTGATGACGAAATTATTTCCCATAGCGTTTTGTAGTGGCTCGATAATTTTTCTAAAGCCAATGTCTTCCATTAATGGTCCCCCGTTGACCGTCACAAGCTCTATGCACGCATCTTTTAGACATTCTGGAGACATTTGAACATGTAGGCCTGTTGTCTTTGGCTTTTTCACTACGACCGCGTCTAGAGTCGTTTGTCCATCAGCTGCTGACCTTTTATTGCTGGTCGAATCAACATATTTCGTTGGATGTTTACGTTGAATGTGTCTCTGCAGGTTACCGCCATGATTCCCAGCTATTTCTGCCCCGCATCCTTCAATATTACAGATCGATTTATCAGACGATTTGTCATATGAAAAAAATTGACGAAAGGGATTTTCTTTATGGCGACCCATCTAAAAACAATAGACAATCAGTAATTATTTTTTGTAATTTTAACTACAAGTTTTAATTAGGCTACAATAACTTAAACCTAAACATACCTTTGCACATGAAACAGCCAGGTGCTTGGTAACCTTAAGCTCGTCGCATCAGAAAGGGCTCTGCTTATGACGTCTGCTTCGCGGGCATTTCATGTTGTATGCGTCACCGTCGCATTTGCACACACAATTTGAATTCATGTTTTTGGTCTGCCAAATTGATATAATAAAGAGAACGATAAAAATACCGTTATTAACCGGTTCATTTGGAATTTCTGTTTCCGTTTCTGTTCAGAACGATTAAAATTGATTTTGTTTTCATTTTTGTTCCTGTTCAATGTCATTTGTTTTCGTTTTTCACTTTCGTTCCTTGAACCGGTTCAGAGCCCTGATTTTAAGTGCAGTTAATTTTGTTTCTCCACATTAGTATTCGCAGTATTGAGTCCTCACTTAGTTACGACGGGGGGTGTGTGGAACGCGAAGGCCTAGAGGCTGGAGAGACAGTTGTTCTTAAGGATGGAGAACTGCTGATAAAACATCATCACCACCGAATTCTTCAGAAGTGCAGCAAAACGGGACAGATCGTGCATTTCTTCATTTCAAAGTGGATCGGCTGGATTCATCTAGGACTTCAAGACAGCTCGTGAGGGGCGCTGAGTCTTCGTGGTGTTGGGTGAATAAATGATTGGTTCATTTGACTCATCTGAGCAAGTACAGTAAGTGGATTCATTTTTCATGTGGGATTAACATTGGAATTCATCATCTGCTTAATGTGCACCTACGAACGGGCCCCAACGATAACGATCGATCCAACTTTTGAACTGTTTGACTGACTCACGTATACTTTGAACGGATCCTAATCTGTAGCTAATATCTATATAGTACCAAAAGGCTGTTATGGTGTGAACTACACGTTTTAACGCGTATAAACTCACGTTCATGACGTCATCAAGATGGCAGATGGTGCAGGAATTGAAGAAAACATTTTTTGCTAACTAAAGTTAACTAAAGTTAACAGGTAATAGCAACAACACCAATCTCACTATTTTTTCAAAATGCTGCCCAAAAAAGCAAACCCAGGAGTGGAAGAGGAGTTGGAGGAGATTAGGAAATCGCTTAATTTCATGTCTGATGAACTGAGTAAAGTGGCTAAACAACAAGGTATGCTACATGACCTAATGGAGGAGATAAAACAACTAAAAAATTTGATAAAGGAGAAGGACAAGAAAATAGACAACCTGGAACGGCGAATCGAGGACTTTGAACAATACACAAGAATGGATGATTTAGTCATAAGTGGACTCGAGACGCAACACCGAACCTACGCCAGAGTAGCAGCTGGTGGAGGTAAAGATGGTGAAGAAGTCCTGGTAGAGGAGCTGCAAACGCTTGAACAGCAAGTGATAAAATTCCTTCAAACGAAGAATGTAAGTATTCAGAGCCATCACATCGCAGCATGCCATACGCTTCCCAGAAAAGATAGAAAGACAAAGCCAGTAATTATTCTTCGGTTTGTGAGTCGTAAAACAAAGATTGAGTTACTGAAACAAGGAAAGAAGCTAAAAGGGACCGGTGTGTATTTAAATGAACATTTAACGAAAAAGACTGCTGAAATTGCAAGACAGGCACGCAGCCTGAAAAAACAAAATAAGATACAAGCGACATGGACGAGGAATTGCAAAGTAATGATAAGATTAAATGGCACTCCCGAACAAGCAAAAGTTGTAATGATAAGAGAACTTAAAGATCTAGAGCAATATGAATAATCAGGAATCTACTATCGAATCTACGGGAAAAGTGATGATTTGCAATGAACAATGGGTATGGAAAGTGTTTTTTGGCCTTATGCTTAAAAAACAATGGAAAAACAACAACAAAAAAACAACAACAACAAAAATATATAAATGACAAGTGTGGATACAGATTATAGGTTTCCATTCAGAGATATTGAAGAGGAAGACTTTGATTATGAAAAGGACTCTGACTGTCAAGGTGGTTATTTTGCTGCACATGCTGAGAAAATGAATTTCAAAATGTTTAACTATGCAGAGTACAATATGTATGACCCTGAAAGAAACATTGATCCAGATAACCACTTCTACATAAACAATAATAATACTTGTGAGTATTATACAGACGACCAATTCAATATGAATATTAAAATGGCAAATGCGTTGTCGGTTATACATTTCAATAGTAGAAGCCTGTATAAAATTTTTTCTAAAATTACAGAATGTTTAAGTGAGTTACATAAGTTTAATATAATTGCAATATCAGAAACATGGCTTGATAATGAGAAAGTTAGTGAAATGGAATTGGAAGGATATCAATTATTTATAATGAATAGGGTGAATAAAAAGGGAGGCGGTGTTGCTTTATATGTGGATAATGTTTTGAAATGTAGTCTGATTGAATGTAGGTCAAGTACCATAGATAACGTATTAGAATGTGTTACTATTGAAATCCATGTTGAAAAAGCTAGTAATATAATTGTAAGTTGTATCTATAGGACACCAGGATCATGCCTTGACACTTTTAATGAAAAACTTGCTGCTATGTTTAGCAATCTAAATGATAAAAAAGTGCAAATAATTTGTGGTGATTTTAATATAGATTTGCTAAATCCAAATGGACATAAGAAAACAACAGATTTCATTAATACAATGTATAGTAACAGCCTTTTCCCTGTAATTATAAGACCAAGTAGAAAAACAATTGATACAGCTACATTGATAGATAATATATTCACAAATAAAATTGACTATGAAATAAGAAGTGGACTTCTTATAACTGATATAAGCGATCATCTTCCTGTTTTTGCAATTTTTCGAGATTATTTTGGGATTAAAACTAAACAAAAGAATCAAATATTTGACATGATACGACTTAGAACAAGAAGAGCCATTGCTGCCTTCCAAGTGGACTTAAAAGAACAAAATTGGAATGAGGTCTTTGAAACGGAAGATTTAGATAGTGCATATGATGCATTCCTGTCAGCCATAATTTCATTATATGAAAAACATTGTCCTTTAATGAAAATCACTAGAAAACATCACAAATCAAATAAGCCATGGATCACAAAGGGGATAGAAGATGCATGTAAAAAGAAAAATAATCTATATAAGAGATTCATAAAACAGAGGACAAAAAATGCTGAAACAATGTACAAGACATATAAAAAAAGATTAGTAAATATTATAAGAACAAGTAAGAAAGAATATTACCACACATTATTGGAGCAAAATAGAGGTAACACACAAGAAACATGGAGATTATTAAATAGTATAATTAGAAAGGGCTCAAGAAATACGAATTATCCAGACTACTTTAAAAAGGATAAAGATATTGTATTTGATAAAATTAAAGATATTGCAAATGAATTTAATGATTTTTTTGTAAATGTTGGTAGTAATTTAGCAAAAGAAATTCCGGAGTCAAGAAATAACAATGATCTAAGAAAACAAATTACTCCGAATGTGTCCTCCTTGTTTATTGGTGCTGTAACTCATAGAGAAATAATTAACATTGTGAAAACATTTAAAAATAAAAAGTCCACTGACTGTTTTGGTATTGACATGATATTAGTTAAAAGTATTATAGAATATATAGTGCAACCTTTCACATATATTTGTAATTTGTCTTTTCGAACTGGTATGTTCCCCTCAAAAATGAAAATAGCAAAAGTTATTCCAATTTATAAAAATGGAGAGAGATGTCAATTCACCAATTACAGGCCAATATCACTACTCCCACAGTTCT